CCAACTACAATCATCAATAAAGGTCAGAAAATATCTATTCTGTCTATTTGACATTGGCTTCAATGGACCACACATATCAACGTGCCCTAGCTCCAGCGGCTTTGCTGCTCTCCACTTCACTTTTTTGGCAAAGCTAGTTTTGTGATGCTTGCCAAAAATGTAGCTTCCATAGACTTCATTAGTATGAGCAATATGTTTTCACCATATTCTTGCTTGACAACAACTTCAAGCTTCCAAAGTTGAGATGTCCAAACCTCAAATGTCATAGCCAATCTTTGTCTTTGATGATGGCACTTAAACACTTTGTAGTATCATGTTGGATGTTCAATACAAACATTTGATTGTTAGACATTCTCACCCGAGCGATCAAATTACCATGATTGTCTTTGATAGTAAGATGACAATCTTTCACGCTGATGTCGTATCTTTTCTCTAGGAGTTGTCCTATACTCAAAATATTGTTCTTCATGGCAGGAACATAATAAATATTGGAGATGTAATCATGATCTCCATTATTGAGCTTGATCAGAATATTGCCTCTTCCTTTCACTGGAGTCTTTGAAGAACCACCAAATGAGACTTGTGCTTGTACAGTCTTGTCAAGCTCGACGAACAACTCTCTTTTACCACACATGTGATTATTGGCTCCCGAATCTAGACACCGAACATTGTTTTGGTTTTCAGTATCTCCATGGTGGACAAACAGGACTGTAGGTCTGACTTTGTTTGTTTCTGCTCAGCAAAATTTACTTGCTCTTTGGCTTCTATTGTTGCTCTACTTCGGCATTCATTGCTGTAATGCCTGAACTTGTGGCAATGGTAGCACTGAACATTGCTTTGTCAAATCCTAGTCGGTTGTTGTAACCACCTCCCCTTCCTCTTGCTCTTGACTTCTTCCTCCTCTGGCTGGACCTCTTCCACCTCTTTCTCGAAAACCAGAACTTTGGTTATTATATCCACGGCCTCTTCCTCAGCCTCTTTGTGATGTCCCCCCTTGCTCATTTCTGTTATCTCTGAAAGACAACTTTGATTGAAGAGCTTGCTCTAGAGAACTTGAGAGAGTCTTCTTGTTGATCATATGTTCATGAATCTCAAGTGTGCCCATCAACTCATCGGTGGTCATGGCACTGAGATCCTTGGACTCTTCTGTTGCTACAACCATGTGCTCGAATTTGGGACTGAGTGATCATAGAATCTTCTCTATCACTTGAAGAGATTCCATCTTCTCTCCATATCTTCTCATCTGATTAATAATGGTCAATGTTCTGTTGAAGTACTCAGAAATTGACTCATTCTTATTCATGTGCAGCATCTTGAACTCACCATGTAACACTTGGAGTCGAACTCTGATCATCTTCTCAATTCCACGGTGTGAATTGCGAAGAATACTCAATGCCTCTTTAGAGGTTGCTGCTGCTAAAATCTTCTCAAAGCTTGACTCATCAATGCCTTGATAAAGTAGATACAAGGCCTTTTATCTCCCTTCCTTGAATCTTTTAACGCCGTTTTCTGAGTTTCATTTAAATTTCCTTCATCTTCGAGAGTAGCTGGCTCGTTATATCCTCGATCCACTAACTCCCACAAATCTTGTGAGGCTAGTAGGACTTGTATTTAAATACTCCAATTTTCATAATTCTCTCTGCTGAATTTTGGAAACTGGGGTTGAATTGTTTGTGTTGGCCATTGGTTGACTTTAAGAAATCTACAAAGTTTCAGGATGTAATTTGGAAATTCTGACCGTACAAATGTGTCCAGAATGTTCCAAATAGTTGGAAAGCACTATTGGATAACCAAAAACGCACTTCAAACAGCTTAGATCTAAAAAAAATAATTGAACGGTTCAGATCGACGGAATCTAGAACTTCTGAAAAGCACCGGATAATTTCTCCAGATAGAATGACATCAGTGTGATGTTAGTGGTGTGGCTTGACTCGGTCTGCGGCTTGGCAGTGCGACTCCTCTGCGGCTCAACTCGGCATATGGCTTGGCTCGGCTTAACGGCTCAGCTTAACGTCAATAATGACATCAGCTCTTGGATATGGATCCGGGCTAATGGATCGGATTGTACGCCAAACGGGTTAGACTCTGCAAATCTGGGCGAAGAAGACGTGTGGTAGCGCATGGGCGCGTTACTGCACGTGGTGACGGCGTCGACGGCACGTGCGGGCTCTGTGGGACTCGGTTTTCAACATAGTTTTTTGCAGTGTGATCGTTTCGATGAAACCTACACACTGGTGTGATCAAAAGTTTATTTCAACAACTTTGATTTATGGACAAGATTTGAAACAATGCTTTGTTCTACTGTTTTTTTGGAAAAAACAGGCCCTTCCGATGCTCTGATACCACTATTAGTGGGAGAGGGACTTCAAACTACTTATGGTAGCTTGAAATAAAATTCAGAGAAATAAATTTGGGAGATAAACAAACAAACTTTATCAATTACTGAAAACAATTATAGAAAAATGTGAGAACTCTCTCTGTCTCTCCAACTCTTACACTCATTTCTTTTTCTCTCCCACACTCTGGCAACGGGCCGGGGGGGCCGGGGATCAGACTCCCCGTCCCTGATGGTACAAATTTTCCCGTCCCCGACCCCAATCCCCGACGGGGAATTCTCAAAATACAATAACTATATATAAATAAAACTAGTAAAGATAAAACCATTAAATGCAGATGCAGTTAAGGCTGTGAATTTCAAACGGTTGCAATCACTGTTGTAAAACTTGATTTCAGCCGCCATACTTCTGCTCTTAGGCCGGTGGAATTTTTTTTTATTTTTTTTTAATCATTATTATAGGTGAAGCAAGATTTCTTCACAACAATTTTGACCACAGAAATAACAAAGATGGGAATCACAATCTGTGAGATCCTTCTGACTTGGGATATAGGAGGTTGATTGCTGGTTGTTTATTGAACGAAAAATAATATGATTTATCAAGAGAGAAGTGATGGAATATGACAATGATTCAATAAATAATCTAATCTAATATATTATGATAACAATAACTAAAGACTTGCAGTCTTATTTTTATGGTTTTTATGATTAAGGTCTTAACTCAGAAGTGGTTGGATTGAGCATCATTTCGAAAAGAAAATTATATTTTGCGGTGCTCTAAGCGTGTAGTATATTGCTTCTTCTTCTTCTTCTTCTTCTTCTTCATTTTTTATTTTTTATTTTTTTATTTTTTTATGTGCTGTGCCCTGATTCTAAGGGATTATGAAGTTGCAAAAGAATTAATTAAATCATTTTTGTCTCTTCTGGGGGAGGAAGGAGGTAGATAATTTTTACTAGGGTCTGTTTGGTTGTGTTTTTGTTTTCTGTTTTCTATTTTCATTTTCCAGAAAAATGCAGAGAACTTATGTAACAAATTGTTTCCGAAAACAGTTTTCGGAGAAATGTTATGAAACAACCCACTCTTTAGGAAACACACAAAAAAGTAGTTTTGAATTTTCCAAAACAGTTTTTGCACAAAAACAATGAGAAGTTTTCTGTATCCTATTTTCATTTTTCAGAATACACAGAATTTATTTAACAGATTGTTTCTGAAAACAGTTTTCGGAAAAATGTTATGAAAACAACCCACTCTTTAGGAAACACAAAAAAAATGTTTCCAAATTTCCAAAACAGTTTCTGCACAAAAATGAAAAAGATGAATGTTTTTGAAATTTCTTGAAAACAAGGAAAAAGAAAATCAAAATCAAAAAGGAAGAGAGAAAAAAAAAAAAAAAAAAAACTACCAAACAGGCCCTATGCAACTGAAACTCCCTCCATTCCTTCGTCCTCTCTCACCCTTTCTGACTTCTCACAATGTCATAGATTACATTATCTCCAGTAAAACATTCTGCAGTACCTTGTTCAAAAGAAATAAGAATGATGCATTAACTTGCCTCATCAATCTTTTTAGTTTAAACTTTAATTCCAAAGACAACCTACAAATCTATATAGACATCTCTTCTTTTGTCTCTTCTCTTCTCCAACACCTTGAAGTATGCAGGTTTTTGCAAAACTATGATTGCTAATGGAGAAAGAATTTGTTGAACAGAGAAGTCAACCATCTCTGTCATTGTAACTAGAGTTAGTTAAATACGGACGTAATTTTGCTCTTTTTATCTCCCCTAGAAATAAAGGAAGAAGCTTAAATATTAAGCAACTGAACTCCCTCTGTACCTATCTCTCTCTCTCTCTGACTTTTACCAAACACGATCATATATAATGGCGGTGTTTGGGAACTTAATTTTTGGATTTTTCTTAATTTTTTTCACTAAAAGACAAATTGGTTACAAAATCAAAAAAATAAATCCAAACAAAATATCACATCAAATCCCATAATCATTTCACTTTTTCTTTTACAAACATCACATCCAACTACAAAAAAACTCAATTATCTTCTCAAACGCAAAAAAAAAAAATTTCCAATAATATCCTACAATTAAAAAAACCTACAAAAAAAACCCACTTCCCAAACACCCACAATTACTGCTTTTCCCCTCCCCCCCTATTGTTTTCCTTGGGCCCATATGATTGGACTTGCTTCATTTGGAGGAAGAAACATAGAATATACTTAGTTATGCTCTAACAACTGAGGAATATATTATTCTTATTAGGGATGCCTGTAGAATTATCAAAGACTGCGTACTTAATCACTCCTCTCTGCAACACGCATTAACCCAAAAAATAAATAAAAATTTATTAATAAAGGCAATAGAACATATAAGACAGTACAAATCATGATGCAATTAACCCAAAATACTGCTAAATTATTTATGTACTAAAAAGTTTGAACTATGATGGATTAAGCATCGGTTTAACTAGAAAGTCAACTACCTTGTCATTGTAACTTGTGTTGGTGGAATACCATTTTTTTTTCTTGGGGCCTGGGCATGAGCCAACTTATATAAGTAATTCTCTCTCTCTCTCTCTCTCTCTCAGGACTTCTTGTAATACATGGATCATATTATCTACAGTAGAATACCTTCAACTTAGTTGTTCGGAGAAGTAAGCATGATGCATTGCCTTATCTCATCAATCTTTGTAAAACATACAAACAAGCATGATGTGGCCTTACATTTATCAAAAAAAAGCATGATGTGGCCTTACCTCATCAATCTTCAGTCTAAAGCCAAGGTGAAGACTGCACATATATACACATGTATATTTATGCATCTTCCCTTCTGTATCTTGTCCTATCATTTCCTACTTGAGTCTTTCCTGGTTTATCCAGTATGGCTCAATTGGTTGGTGATGATGAGATAGAATCACTGAGAATTGAACTTGCAGAGATAGGAAGAAGTTTGAGGTCATCGTTTCAGCGCCATACCTCTAGTTTCAGAAGCATTTCAGCTTTGAGTTCTGTAAAGGATGTTGATGATGAATACGCCTTACAGTGGGCTGCAATTGAGAGACTGCCTACATTTGAGAGGTTGAGATCATCTTTGTTTGATGAAAATGATGGAAGCAAAGTTGATGCGCAAGGAAAACGAATAGTCGATGTTACTAAGCTTGATGCTCTAGAACGAAATATGTTTATTGACAAGCTCATCAAACATATTGAGAATGACAATCTTCGCTTGTTGCATAAACAGAGAAAAAGAATAGACAAGTAAGTTTTATTTGTTTGTTTTTTCCTTTGTGTTCCAAAATATATGGCTATACATATCTATATAGGCATGCACAGAGGTTACTCTTTTATTTCCAAACTTAAATTCATAATCACAGGAATCAAGTTGTGAAACAGAAATTAAGTTTCTAGTAAAAATAGAAACATAAACTACGTTTACTAAATCTAAAATGAAAACACGGTCTAAAATTAGACGGAGGATGCCAATAGTCCACTTTTATTCCATTCCCGACCATAATGGTCCGTTCTTCTTTATTTAGTTTCCAACTTGTAAGGTATCCCTGCATAGAATTTTGTTATGTGAATACTTGTACTAGTGTCAATCCACCAAGAATTTGGTGGAACCAAAAAGGATTAAGACACAAAACATTGAGTGTTACCTTTCTTGTCTAACCAACCTTTAAAACTTAGACAGTCTTTTTTTATGTTTTTTTTTATTAGCAAAAATAAAAACCTTTTATTGAAAATAAACCAAACAAGAATGAAGTTTACATCAAAAAATGATGGAAAAGCAGAAACGCATCATAGGATACTACCTAATCCCAACTAGGTCGGCACTGAGAAGATAGCCCAATCGTCTGCAAGCTTAACCACAAAAGGTTGGAGAGAGACCAACCCAAGCAAGAAAAACAACAAAAGCTAAACCCACAACAGCCAGGACCCAGCAGAATTAGCATCAGTAGACTAAGCTACATCAGAAGCATAACAACCCCAACAAAGGCAAGACACAGCAGCAGTGCTCACAGATGCAAAAACTCAAATGCATAGCCCAGAAGAATCACAAAATGCACAACTGCACACCCATTCTAGCAAACACATCAAACCATCCACCCATACACTTGGTACATAATCTGATCTAAGCATCAGACCAACATCAACCAACTAAATTTGTAGAACTTAGCATACCAATGCATCTGCTAGCCTAGTAACCAATACAAACACATCAACAGCAGAACACTAGCAGGGCATAGCAAACACCATATCAAGCATAACAAAATAGACCAATATATTAGACTACTAGACCTTCACAGAGCACACTCTCATAACAACAACCATGCTCAGTCCACCCTCAACCATCAACACATCTTCCAGCGAGCACTGCTCCCATCTGTATAGCTTAGTTCCCATTCTTTCGAAAGAAATGGTATCGAATCTTATTTTCTTCATTAACCTTGTGAGTTTCATCATTTGCATTCTTCTTCTTTTTACTTTGTCTTTCTTGAAAATCTTTTTGGTTGGACCCAAGGTGGTAAGGTGAGCTGTATCGGGCTTTTCAAGTTTAAGCCTCTCTTCTTCTTGAACACACATGGCAATTAATTCGCTCATCTTTCACTTATCTTTCTGCGTATTATAATTGATCTTGAAAGGACCAAATTGTGCAAGAAGAGAAGTCATAATGAAATGAACAAGAAAACCTTCAGAAATTTCTATGTCCAGTCCCTTTAATTAAGAGGCCATGCCATTTATCTTTAAGATATGTTCACCAATACCATTCAAACCATCATATTTCATTGTCATCATTTTAATCATGAGAGTTTTAGTAAGGGATTTGGAAGTTCTAATGAATTATTTTTCAATAAATTTCATATAGCCCACTGCACCTTTCAGAAGCAGGGATTGCTCCTTGAATTGTAGGCGTAATTGAGTCTTCATAATCATTAAACTTAAGCAATTAGAGCGTTCCCATTTTTCATATAAAGCCATGTGTTCCTTAGAATTTGTATCATTAGGTTTTGTATGTGCTGGCTCTCTTAATGCATAGTCTAAATCCATAATTCCCAAACACAATTCTAGTTTGTTCCTTCTATTTCTTAAAATTAGTTTCACTCTGCAGTAGGATTCAATGTTGCAACCACATAATATCCATTATATAACTTAATATAATCAAGAAAACTACTTTTCACATGTCATGAATAAAAATAACACCACAAGTTAAATATATCTAACTAAAAAACATAATTAATTAGATATGAAATCAAATTATTCTTCCATTGGGCCGAATAACAATATATTTTAGCAATTTCATAAAAGTAAATGAGATGACTAATAAAAATAAACAACATAAAATAAAATAAAATAATCATTAACACCGTAACAAGTTTATCACTGTTGGATAGAAAAACTCAATGTCTTATATTATTTTATTAACTAAAGCACGTGAGAAATTTATTACTGTTGGGTAAAAAAACTCATTGCCATATTTATTTTACTAATCATCTCAGTTATTCAAAACATACATAGTGTTGAACCTCCGTTGGACTGATCGACAATGTATCAACTCATAAGGTGTGTAACAAAACATTATTAACTTTCGTTAGGCTGATCAACAATGTATCAACTCATAAGATAGCATAAGGCATTATCTTAGTTACTATTTGTTCAACAATTTATAAATTTTTATTTTAATATCAATAGAATAAAAGATTAACCAAAAATAAAGATAAAATTGATGCACAAGTTGCACAAAATATCATCATAAAATGAAATTCATACTTTCACGTTTTATGCGTAGATATACTCTTACATCATTACCTTGCAAGGATGTAAGGGTGGGTTATTGGGTTAACCTTTAAATTGATTCTTGTAGGGTTGGTGTAAAATTGCCGACAGTGGAAGTGAGATATAACAATTTGCGAGTGGAAGCAGAGTGTGAGGTGGTTCATGGCAAGCCCCTTCCAACTCTATGGAATTCTTTCAAAAGCATTCTTTTTGTAAGTATCTAATTTTCTTGAAGTAACATTATAGCTTATTGTTGGTATGCATTTGGGTAGGTTTTGTCCACCTGCGGATATTGTCTAGGTTAAGGTTTTCACGTGCTCTACCTGTCATCTAAATTTCAACCAATTCATTTTAATTAATTATTTCTAACGGTTAAGATTTATTTTCAATAAAAAAGTCAAATAGCCAAAAATTTTATTTTCTCTATAAAAAAATTCAAGAAGCCAACAAATTATACAAAAAAAGTCAGATTCTATTTTCTCTATTATTTTAACACGTTTTTCGTAAAAATCTAAAAAATATTCCAAACAAACTAGTTTTTTTTATGTTATATTTTAGCCAAAAAGTCAAAAATTACTAAAATAACATATTCCCAAACAAGGCCTTAATCTGGATAATTTTCTTTTCTTTTTTTTAATTTTTAATTTTTATTTTTTATCCAATGTTATCCAACTCGTTGCATATGTTTCTGAATCTGCATTCACATTTATGTTTCCATTTAAGAGAAGAAGGACCAGCCCATAAGCTGAATATTTGGCGGTTCTTGTGTTTGTATTGTGTAAGTCAAACATTTATCAGTGTATAACTCAGTAAAAATAAAAAATGATCCATGTATTGTTTGACTTGCTGTTTAGTTGCAAAAACAAATGGTCAGGGAATCCATGTTTTGGGTTTATCATTTCCAAAAGCAGCCTATAATAAATTAGAACCGCTGTTATCCATGCAAGTGCCTAAATTGATTAATTGGTGAAATTTGCTAAACAGGATTTGGTCAAGCTTCCTGGTATGAAGTCACAAGAGGCCAGGATTACCATCGTTGATGACATCAGTGGAATCATTAAGCCTGGAAGGTGTGTTTGAAGCTTAGGGGATCTCATTTTTTTTTTTTGGGTCTCTCCTTATAGCCATATGTACCTTCCTTTTTTTCCCCTATTTTTTGTTACTATCCGGCCTCGTTTGGAAAATGCGATTTTAGTAACTTTTTGACCTTTTACGAAAGATGTGCAGAAAAGTAGAAAGAGTGATATAGTTGCTTGAGGCAAATTGTTCTACTCCAGTGCAATGGTTGACTATTGATATTCATTGCATATGGTCACACCCTCACAGACAGCTTTCCTTATCTTGTTATCAGTATTCAAATTGTTGATAACGTAGACAGCTTATCATAAAACATGACTTGCCTTACGACAAGTATTATTCTCCCTTTGAAATCAATACGTATATATGTTGATAACAGACTCGAAATTTAGAGCTTGCATGGTAATTGAATCAATTTGACTCTTTCAATTTGTTGAGTTAAACAACTCAAACTATATATGTGTTTTCAGTGTTGCTATAGTGGTTTGTATTTTCACTTTGGAAGCTCCACTGCACTGGTCCGTCCTTTCATTTGTAACTGAAATTGAATACTGATGAATGATTGCAGTTAGTATTTGGAATTTGAGCTGTTTTATATTTGGTTTAATATAATAAAATTTGACAAGTATGACAAGTTTTAAGGTTGAATTACCACCGTTAACATCGAAAATGAGTTTAACTTGGGTAAACAATTTTATTGTGGATTATTAGGTCAAGTCTTAATCATTGAACCAATGGTCACCCTTCCCAAACACACATTAATGTGTACTAATTGGGCGTTGTTTTTATTCATCTCAGTGTTTTACATGCTTAGTGAACTTCTGTTATCCATGTCCTTGAGTATCTGTTTCCTATCTTATGCTGTTTGTGGAAAGATATCTTTCTAAAGTTTCAAAATCATGAAAAGAAATCCCATTTCATCAAAAAAAAAAAAAAACTTCTTGGAAAATTTGCATATTTTAATATTCTACTCAAGTAGGCTTATTTTTGCTGCAGGATGACTTTGCTGCTTGGTCCTCCAGGATGCGGAAAGACTACTTTATTGAAAGCACTTTCTGGAAATCTAAACAAATCTCTCAAGGTCTCTAGCTTTTTAAAATGATTAATATTCTTAATAACAGAAATGTTGGTAGATACTTGATCAACATTAAAATGAACAAAAATGATCTTAAGTATAATTAAAACCTGCTTGGACTTTACAAACTAAACTGTTTTGGGTTCTAATTGGTATCGTCCTCTAAGGAAAGGGTTGGTTTCAGCTGATTCTTATGTTTCTCATATGGAAAATGATATACAAGTTCATTTGTTAGACCTAATAATGTGTAAGTGAGATAATTGGTTGATGATTAGAGAAGATAGGAGGAAGAGAGTTGCCTTACATATTTTAATTGGTTGCCACATCATTGGGTTTGAAAAGTGAGTCTAATTTTTGGGCTAGAATAGCAATGCCCTTTTCATATACTCCCAAGCACTGTCGTTTAATCTTGAAAGTTGGCTCAACACATAAATATATGGAAGCAAATAGAAACTACTGTATAGCCTTATTCAACTTTGTTACAAGTTAATAATGGCGCTGTTTGGGAAGCAAGGATTGAGGCTAATATAGCCTCATTTGCAAAATAAGCCAAGAAGCCTCACTATTCAACCTTTTTCATTAAAATATATATATATATATATAGGTGCAGCTGCCGGCAGTGTAGGCACAGCCTACACTGTCAGCTAGACAACTTGTTACATCAATGGATAAATTACGATTTTACCCCTTTACATCAATTTTAAAAAATATATTTTTAGTGACAAATTTGTCATTTTAACTTCAAACATCATTTCAACACATTTTTCAATACAACAACTCAAATAAAATCCATCTCATCTTCCCAAACACAAAAACTAAAATAGCCTACTAAAATAGAATATATATATATATATATAGGTGCAGCTGCCGGCAGTGTAGGCACAGCCTACACTGTCAGCTAGACAACTTGTTACATCAATAGATAAATTACGATTTTACCCCTTTACATCAATTTAAAAAAATATATTTTTAGGGACAAATTTGTCATTTTAACTTCAAACATCATTTCAACACACTTTTCAATACAACAACTCAAATAAAATTCATCTCATCTTCCCAAACACAAAAATTAAAATAGGCTACTAAAATAGCTAAAAAGCCAAATAGGCTACTAAAATAGCCACTTCCCAAACGAGGCCAATATTCTCTTCCAAGAAAATTATATTCTGCTGGTCTTTTGCCTAGCAGATATATGCTTCTAAGCTCCACCCAGTTTATTGAAGTGAGCCAGCTATCATTTAGTCTTGGTTACGACACTGGGAGAACTGTTAACTTGGAGTTGATGAACAATGCAAAAAATTGGGCTCCTGAATTTCTAGTGCAAAAAGTGGACAATGAATTGCATTCCAAATATACTCGATTACCACAAAAACCCACAATTTACTCTGCTACCCATAAGAAACAGGATATAACTACTGTTCTATGGATTACTTAGTTCATTGCATCTGGTGTGTTTAGTTTAACATTAGACACAATCGTTGAACTCTTTTTTGGTTGCCTAGAAGAGCTATTTTCCTACATTTTGACATAGTTTCCGTATGTTCATCCTTTTTCTGCAACAGGTTGCAGGAGAAGTTTCTTATAATGGGTACAAATTGGAAGAGTTTATTCCCCAGAAAACTTCTGCATATATAAGTCAAAATGACATACACATCCCTGAAATGACTGTGAGGGAAACACTTGATTTTTCAGCTCGCTGTCAGGGCGTAGGAAGCCGAGCAGGTATGGGTGCTTCGAACAAGCAACAAGGATCATATTATTTGTAGATTCCTTATCAACTAATGGTACTAATGGTAATTGAAGTAAATTGTTTCTTGCTTGCCAGATATTATGATTGAGGTCAGCGAAAGGGAGAAACAAGCAGGAATTGTTCCAGACCCAGACATAGATACTTACATGAAGGTAATTTTGGTTTCTCTGGTCTTCTTTTTTTCCCATGTTTCAGGGGTTTCCACTATGTTTCTTGAGGGATGGAATCTCCGGAATCTGGAATGTTACCCCATGAGAAACCAGAGCCCGTGCATCTATACAGGCTTTTGTCAGTTTTGTAGGAATACACGGGTATTATTTTTTCTGTGTGCATATGGAATGGTGATGGTCTGAGTGTGTGTGTGTGTCTCTCTCTCTCTCTCATTTATCTTTATTTTTCATTTTTAATTATTAGAGGCTTGAAACAACTTTCTCTCAGGTTTCCTAATTACATTTTCCAACTTTAGTGATAAAGAGAAAAAAATGGTTCATAGAAACTTGCAAGCTTAATCTTTTGCATAAGAATTGTGTATTAATAATAATTCTATCAAAACAAACAGAAGTGCAACAATGGAGTCAGCATAAATTTATAATATTAGGAGCTTATTGTGAATTAGTAAGAAAATCAGATTACGAGCGCAATAGTAGTGGTGTGAATGACAGTGCTATGAGATATCTGCCTTATACTGTGCTCAATTACATGGTCTAGTTGATGGCAACTCATTTAATTGATGTAGGTAAAAAAATTTGTTACGTACTTCAAAAACAAAATTCTAATCTCTAATTTGGAGGAATCTTTCCACAAAACACAGACGCTTGGCCCAAATTCTTGTTGGGGAATTTTCAAAATGGATTTCAAAATTTATTGTTTAGTTTTTAGGTGTTTTCAAAACCTTTCTTGTTTTTTTTGGAAATCTTGCAATAAGCTTGGGGATTTTGTCCTACATCGGAAAGAGAGGAAAACATGGAGTACTTAATAAAGTGTTACATGGAATATTTCTTTAAATGTGGAATTGTGGGATGGATTCTAGTGTACATGCACTCACATTGCAAGCACCATCAGCACATGTACGCGTGGCATGGGCAGTGGGCTGCGTGGCGTTTGATGGCACACTTTGCGCAGACACATTGGCATAAGGCGCCGTAAGGGTGCTCTCCTCTTTGCATTGGACATGTTGGAGCGATAACGTAGATCCAACTTGGCATGGGTGACGCTGAATACAGTCAGCTTTATGTGGCAGTGATGTGGCGTCCGTTGGCGGTTTGATCATAGCCGTTGATTGGAGATGCGTGCGATCGTGCGGATGAGATGGCACCCGATCGTGATTAGGTATGATCAGTCAACGCATCTATTCGGTGTGAGAATGATCTACATCATAGATCGTTGATCCAATGGTCAGATCTGATCGGATACGATCCAGAGACATGGCCATTCGATTAGATACATCTAGGCCTATAAATAGGCTACGAAATCAGCCATTTCAATCCATCCAAAAACTCAGAAATCATTCCCGTAATTCTCTCTCTCTCCCTCTTGATTTAGAGTTTTCGATCAATAATTTTTTAAGCAAGTTTTTGCTTTTCTTATTGGTAATCAAATTTTGCAAACTTGATTACCAGTGTCTTGGTTTTCTTGATTATATCAAGAGTATTCTGATCTACTGTCGTCAGTGCAGACGACGGTAGACTTGATCCTTAGATCATGCTTCATTGTATCTTGGAAGCGAATTTGTTGTAATCCCCTGTGCACCTTTTTGGTGGGTGCAGATATTGTCTTTAGGAGAGCGAATAAGTAACGCAACTTGAAGCACCAATTTCTATTTTATATAGACAAGATCATTGCCAAGTTTTGAAGACCCGAAGACCACCAACTGAAGAATTCAAGACGAAAGACGAAATGTTCCAACAATCTAAAGACAATATTTGGATATGGCGATATCTATTTAGAAAATAACTTAAGATTTCATGAAGCTTGACCGATTTAATGGAGGAAATTTTTGACGCTGGCAAAAGAAGACGAGACTATGGAGCAAGAAGACGAGACTATGGAGCAAACCCGTACCAAAACCAAATGGGAGAATGACAACTACATTTGTTGATGACACATTTTGAATGCGTTGTCAAACTCTTTGTTCGATGTGTATCAACATCTGGAAACGGCAAAGCAACTCTGGGACATATTACAGTCAAAGTACCTCACCTAGGATGCCACTAGGAAGAGATTTCTTATTAGTATTTTTATGCGTTTTACTATGATTGATACAAAGCCCATTATGGAACAATTCCATGAGATCCAACATATTCTGAGTCAGTTTCGACAAAAGAATATGAACATGGATGAATCTATTGTAGTTTCGTCTATAATGGAGAAACTGCCATCTTCTTGGAAGGATTTTAAGAAAACTCTGAAACACAAAAAGGAAGATCTAACTTTAGAGGAATTGGCTCAACACCTTCAAGTTGAGGAAGAGTCAAGACTTCTTGAAAGTAAAGACAACCTATTGGCCCAGACTTCCAAGATTCACATGGTGGATGATGGTAAGAGGTTCAACAAAAAAAAAGCGTAAGCGTGACCCCTATCCTAAGAAAGATGCTAAGAAGCCGAAAAGCGCTTGCTGGCACTGTGGCAAGCCAGGGCACTTTAAAAATAAATGTCGGTTATACAAGAAGAAACTAGAAGCATTAAATGCCAAGAACAAGTTCGTAGCTGTTGTATCTAAGGTGAACATACTCGAAGATGCTGGTGACTGGTGGATTAACTTAGGAGCAACAAGGCATGTCTACATCAACAAGAGTCGTTTCACTACTTATGAACGAGTGATGGAACAGTTTTCTACATGGGCAACTCTTCAACTACTGCTATCAAAACCAAAGGGACGGTGGATCTAAAGTTCACATCTAGAAAAGTCTTAAATCTTAATGATGTTCTTCATGTACCTGATGTCAGGAAAAACCTTATATCTGGAAACCTGCTTAATAAGCATGGTTTCAAGTTAGTATTTGAGTTAGACAAATTTGTCCTTTCTATGGGTTTGATTTTTATTGGGAAGGTCTACATGTGTCAAGGAATGTTCAAACTTAATGTTATCAATAATACATCTATTTCTGCTTATATTGTTGATTCTCTTTCTTTATGCCATGCTCGTTTAGGTCATGTTAATACTAGGAAGATGCATGATATGGTTAATTTGATTTAATTCCTAAGTATGACATTGATGCGTTTGAAAAATGCAAATTTTGTGTGCAATCTAAAATTACTCGCATTCCATTTCCTAAAGTAGATAAAATCACATCTCTGCTTGAACTTGTGCATAGTGATGTATGTGACATGCATAGTACCCCCACTAGAGGTGGTAAGAAATATTTTGTAACATTCATTGATGATTTTTCTAAGTACTGTCATATCTGTCTTTTGCATTCAAAATATGAGGTGCTTGATAAATTCAAGATTTTTAAGACAGAAGTACAAAATCAATGTAATGTCAAAATAAAGAGACTTAGGTTTGATAGAGGTGGTGAATACCATTTTTCAGAATATTGTGAAAATGTTGGTATTATTCATGAGAAGTTTGTACCCTACACACCACAACAAAATGGAGTAGCTGAAAGAAAGAATAGGACATTAACAGAAATAGTTAATGTCATGCTTTCTTACTCCAGCTTAAGTTCTAGTTTTTGGGGTGAAGCCTTGTTCATTGTCTGTCACATACTCAATAGAATTCCTCTCAAGGGAAGAAATGTTACTCCTTATGAACTTTGGAAAAACAAAAACCTAATCTAAGTTACTTGAAAACGCAGGGCTGTAGAGCAATAGTCAAATTGCCTGAACTTAAAAAGAAGAAATTAGGTGAAAAAGAAATTGAATGCATATTCCTTGGTTATGCTATACATAGCAAAGCATATAGATTTCTGGTAGTAGAGCCCAATGGTTCGGTGGAAACAAATACCATCATTAAATCACGTGATGCGGTATTTTATGAGAATCGTTTCACAATCATTCCAAGGTTGATTCTAATCAAGGAAATGAATCAACTCCTTTGATGTCTATAGATTGAGCCTAATGAACCTAATGAGCCTGTTGAGCTAAGGAGGAGTAAGAGGGCTAGGACCGAGAAGTCATTTGGCCCTGATTTCATTGTTTACCTTGTAGAAGGAACTAGGAAAACTTATTTTAAGCAAACAATGATTTCTTTGAATATGGATTCAAATCCATTAACCTTTGAGGAGGCTATGAAGTCTCAAGATGTTGCTTTCTAGAAAGAAGCAATAAACGATGAGATGGATTCTATCATGGGTAACAATACCTGAATATTTGCTAATTTGCCACTTGGATCCAAACCAATTGGTTGTAGATGAATTTTCAAAAGGAAAATAAAAGTTGATGGCACAATTGACAAGTTCAACATAAGATTAGTTGCTAAGGGTTTTCTCAAAATGAGGGTATTGATTATTTTGATATATATGCTTCGGTGTCCAGAATTGCCAACATTCGAGTGTTGATTGCCTTAGCCTCAATCTACAAGCTTGAAATCCATCAAATAGATGTTAAGACCATTTTCCTAAATGGAGAGTTAGATGAGGAAATCTACATGCAACAATCGAAAGGATTTGTTGTACAGGGTCAAGAACACAAAGTGTGCAAACTCATGAAGTCACTATATGGATTGAAACAAGCTCCAAAACAGTGGCATGAGAAATTTGATAAAGTAATATTGTCAAATGGTTTTAGGATACATGAATCTGATAAGTGTATGTACAATAAGTTTACTGGCAATAGAGGTGTAATCATATGTCTATATGTAGATGACATGCTTATTTTTTGTACTGACAATGATGCCATTGAAAGAACTAAAAATTTCTTGTCGTCTAGCTTTAGTATGAAAGACATGGGATTAGATGATATAATTATGGATATAAAGATCAAACGAAAGGACAATAATTTGATTCTTACTCAGTTGCACTATATTGAGAAAATTTTTAAGAAATTTAATCAATATAATTGTACACCCATGTCTACACCTTTTGATTCAAATTTAAAATTGTATCCTAATACTGGAAAAGCTGTTGATCAGCTAGAATATTCAAGAGTGATAGGTAGCCTGATGTATGCCATGACTTGCACTAGACCTGATATTGCATTTGCAATGGGAAAACTTAGTAGATACACTAGTAATCCCAGTAGTGTGCATTGGCATGCTGTTAATCGAATTCTTAGGTACTTGAGGAAAAAGATAGACTATGGAATAGTCTATAATGGCTATCCAGCAGTGCTGAAAGGATTCACTAATACTAGTTGGATAACTATCTGTGAAGATCATTTGTCCACGAGTGGTTGGATTTTTATTCTTGCAGGAGGAGCTATCTCTTGGAGTTCTAAGAAGCAAACATGCATAACAGACTCAACCATGGCGTTAGAGTTTGTAGCATTGGCTTCTTGTAGCAAAGAGGCAGAGTGGCTAAGGAATCTCTTGATAGAGATTAAGATATGGCCAAAACCTATGCCACAAATATCTTTATATTGTGATAGTGAAACAACTCTATCACGGGCCAATAGCCATGTCTATAATGGAAAGTCTAGGCATATAGGACTGAGACATAGCTGTGTTAGGCAGTTAATCACTAGAGGTGTGATTACCATTAGTTATGTAAAGTCAAGTGAAAACTTGGTTGAACCCTTGACAAAGGGACTTGCAAGGGATTTGGTGTGGAAAACATCAAAGGAGATGGGTCTTAAGCCCACTTAACATTATCACTCCTGGTGGAAACTCGACTCAACGCTTGAAAAAGCATCAAGTCTTGAGTTCAATGAGCCTAAATACACCATATGTCGTGATTGCAAGCACTTAGTTTTATTTCATTTTCATCCCAAGGTTGAACTGCTTGGTACCTGTAATGTGGAAAGAAGATGATGAGTTAGCAAACTCTTAATAAGCTTACAATTGGGTTGTTAGGGTATTGTAAATTACAGAAGTACTCTCAGTAAGCTTACTTATGTGAGTGTAGGAGGTGGTGCCACTTCCTATGAGTCCAAAGGCTTGATTCTAGAGCGCTCATGAAACAGGATATAAACACTGTAGTGGGTTAGGTTTAGTGGAGTAGGTGAGGTTTAGTGGAGGTGGTAGTGGTGTAGTGGGTTAGGTTTAGTGGAGTAGGTGAGGTTTAGTGGAGGTGGTAGTGGTGTAGTGGGTTAGGTTTAGTGGAGTAGGTGAGGTTTAGTGGAGGTGGTAGTGGTGTAGTGGGTTAGGTTTAGTGGAGTAGGTGAGGTTTAGTGGAGGTGGTAGTGGTGTAGTGGGTTAGGTTTAGTGGAGTAGGTGAGGTTTAGTGGAGGTGGTAGTGGTGTAGTGGGTTAGGTTTAGTGGAGTAGGTGAGGTTTAGTGGAGGTGGTAGTGGTGTAGTGGGTTAGGTTTAGTGGAGTAGGTGAGGTTTAGTGGAGGTGGTAGTGGTGTAGTGGGTTAGGTTTAGTGGAGTAGGTGAGGTTTAGTGGAGGTGGTAGTGGTGTAGTGGGTTAGGTTTAGTGGAGTAGGTGAGGTTTAGTGGAGGTGGTAGTGGTGTAGTGGGTTAGGTTTAGTGGAGTAGGTGAGGTTTAGTGGAGGTGGTAGTGGTGTAGTGGGTTAGGTTTAGTGGAGTAGGTGAGGTTTAGTGGAGGTGGTAGTGGTGTAGTGGGTTAGGTTTAGTGGAGTAGGTGAGGTTTAGTGGAGGTGGTAGTGGTGTAGTGGGTTAGGTTTAGTGGAGTAGGTGAGGTTTAGTGGAGGTGGTAGTGGTGTAGTGGGTTAGGTTTAGTGGAGTAGGTGAGGTTTAGTGGAGGTGGTAGTGGTGTAGTGGGTTAGGTTTAGTGGAGTAGGTGAGGTTTAGTGGAGGTGGTAGTGGTGTAGTGGGTTAGGTTTAGTGGAGTAGGTGAGGTTTAGTGGAGGTGGTAGTGGTGTAGTGGGTTAGGTTTAGTGGAGTAGGTGAGGTGGTAGTGGTGGTAGGTTTATGGTAAATTCTAACAGGAGCTTATTCTGAATTAGTAAGAAAATCAGCTTACAAGCACAATAGTAGTGGTGTGAATGACAGTGTCATGAGATATCTGCCTTGTACTGTGCTCAATTACATGATCTAGTTGATGGCAACTCATTTAATTGATGCAGGTAAAAAAATTTGTCACGTACTTTAAAAACAAAATTCTAATCTCTAATTTGGAGGAATCTTTCCACAAAACACTGACGCTTGGCCCAAATTCTTAATTGTATTTTATGTATGTGATAAGACCTTGTGAGATACTTGCAATATCTGACACAAGAGCCATTCCCTAATTTGGATGGCATGCATATTGGTAATTGGATGTGGTTATCCTTAATCTACTAAACAATTATATATTGACACACCTACTCTCAGTTTTCAATTTAACAACATAGCCCATTTAGGTGACTGCTTGCTAAGTATGATTTGTTGCATTGGTAGTGATGCTGCGCTTAAATCTCTGTCATTCGATTGATGCTGGCATAATAATTGGTTTGATAGGCTAAGGACACCTCAAAATCATTTTACTTAAAAACAGAATTCATCTTAAAATGCAAGCTGACATCAATTGACAAAATGCTAAGGTCATTTATTACATTTCTGATAATCTTAGTAAGTTGATGAGCTTATCTACTGTAATTTTTAACTATATCTTCTTTTAACAGGCAATTTCTGTTGAAGGACAAAAGACAACCCTCCAGACTGACTACATCATAAAAGTAACACTTTTAACAGAGCTTTCATTGATCTTCATCTTTATACTTCATACAAATGTTTTTACCTGTTGATGATTTGGCCATCACTTCCATTTGTTAATCAGATTCTGGGACTTGATATCTGTGCTGACACAGTGGCTGGAGATGCCATGAGAAGAGGTATCTCAGGTGGTCAAAAGAAGAGATTGACCACAGGTAGTCTTTCTGATTTTCTTTTCTGGTCTGGCGTATATGTAGTTTGAATGCTTGAGTTTGACAGCTTCAGCAGAAAATTCAACTCACAACTAGGATAACAAAAAAACAAAAGTAAAATTCAACTCATGACTACATCATATTTGGCATTGGTGTTAGTCTTTGGACAAAATACATTACCATTATCAAGAAAAGAGCAACATTCAACTCATGTCCTTGAATGTTGTTACTATGTGCATGCTTTTTTTTTCTCAAACAATAATTTGTATTGGTATTTCACAGGCGAGATGATTGTAGGTCCCACAAAAGCTCTGTTTATGGATGAAATATCAAATGGCTTAGACAGTTCCACCACATATCAGATTGTTGCTTGTCTTCAACAGCTAGCACATATTGCAGATGCTACTATACTTGTGGCACTTCTTCAGCCTGCACCAGAAACCTTTGATCTCTTTGATGACATTATCTTGATGACGGAAGGGAAGATTGTGTATCATGGACCCCGTAGTCATATTCTAGAATTTTTTGAGGATTGTGGGTTTAGGTGTCCTGAAAGGAAAGGGGTGGCCGACTTCCTCCAAGAGGTAAGTTTATAGTGGTTTATATTGAATTCTTACTTGCACTCTTATTTTCTTCAAGGGGTACTTTAAACTTTTATCTGCCATATTGATAATATAAATAATAAAGTTGTCCCTCTCTGACAATTGCAGTTTTAATGAGTTGGTGACTAAGTAGATCCTGTATTCAAACTTCACTACCGATTTAATAATTATAATACTTGCACGTTTGGCCACGCGTGAAGCTTACTTTCATATGAGTTAGTGGTTAACAATTTAACTACTAAATTGCAGGTTATGTCAAAAAAAGATCAAGCTCAGTACTGGCACCAAGCTGAACAACCTTGCAATTACATTTCTGCTGATATGTTCTCCAAGAAATTCAAGGAATCTAACTTTGGGAAAAAGCTAGACGACGAATTATCAAAGCAGTTTATGAAGTCTCAGAGCCACAAGAATGCAATTTCTTTTAGCATATATTCTCTTTCTAAATGGGCACTCTTTAGAGCTTGCATCTCAAGGGAACTTCTTCTCATGAGGAGGAATTCTTTTATTTATGCATTCAAATCAGTCCAGGTTTTGATCAGTACTTTCTTATTCTTCCATACTTTTTGTTCTTGGAATTTAATTTTTAGCCATTCATGCATTTGTGTCAATGTTGAATTGTTAATCTTTGTATCTAAGCCCCCATATAACTTACAGAAGCTTCAATTCTTGTTCACTGCAGCTTGTTATCATTGCATCTATCACAATGACTGTATTTTTGAGAACCCGACTGGCTGTTGATGCCATTCATGCAAACTATTATCTGGGTGCTTTGTTCTATGCTCTCATCATGCTTTTTTTTGATGGATTTCCGGAGCTGTCCATGACTGTTGGAAGACTTGCAGTTTTCTACAAACAGCGAGATTTGTACTTCTATCCAGCTTGGGCATATGCAATCCCAGCCACCATTCTCAAGGTTCCTCTTTCAATGTTGGTAGCTCTAGTTTGGACATCTCTGACTTATTATGTCATTGGATACAGTCCTGAGGCTGGAAGGTTAGTTTCACTTGACAAGGCTTACATTTTATTCTTCCTTGTATATTATATATATATATATATATTGTTTTCCTTCAAATATATCTTTGATTTGAACAAGTTGTCACCATTTGTACCAATATTTGTATCAACTACTCAGCAATTTAACTCAGTTTTTTCATGGATTAGTCATCCAGCAGCTGCAATCTTCACTAGTACTTTCAAATAAACGCGCATACCCAACACAAACTGTTAGATCACCAGTAGTGCCAAAAACATAAGCTGATAAGAAATGGGCCCAACATTGTATATCAAGCTATCCAATATAAACATCTTAATGTTGTATAAATTTCTATCATTGCATTGTATTTTAGGTTCTTTCGCCAGTTCCTTCTATCTTTTGCGGTACACTTAGCAGCAACATCCATGTTTCGTTTCTTAGCATCGATTTTCCGCACCGTGGTTGCTTCTAACACAGCTGGGAGTATGTTGATCTTGTTTGTCTTTTTATTTAGTGGTTTCCTTATCCCAAAATGTAAGGCTTCAATAACTCTTTTCCAATATGATTTTTTTATAGTTGTTTAGGAAGATGAACTTAAACCGTCTTGTTGATTGCAGCCTCTATGCCAACTTGGTTGAGGTGGGGATTTTGGCTTTCCCCGATGACATATGGTGAGATAGGCCTTGCTTTAAATGAATTTCTTGCTCCAAGATGGCAAAAGGTGAGTATCTGAAAGCCAGAGTTGTTGCTTCCTCTAACTAACACAATATTCAAGTTGCTTTTTGTGGCACTGTACAGATTCTATGAGTTTCATGCTGATACAGCAGCTCACTAGCAAGGGCTAGATGACGACCACTTCTAAAACAATAATGTTGGAAGGCCAATTATATAGGATATCATTCTTTATATCAGTTACCTTTAGCAACAAAATTTCTCAATTTATTGGGTAGACAACACGAATCCCATCCAGTTGATCATCCTCACATGAACCACATTTCTTTACCATGAACTCCACCTATTTTCACCAATGCTCTAATGCTTGGAATTTTTACATGAACGTATCATTTTTCCAATACCTCATTGCTCATTTTTTATTTGCCCAAGCATAACCTCTGTACTTTGTACCTTCTCTTCCAGATATCATGGGATGTTCAGAATTCTAATTAAGTTGTCCAGTACTTTTTCATCCATAAAATTGTCTTCATTTGGGCGCTGCACATCTTATTGATACGTCAATCCTTGTTGGAAGTATTGCTGCTTACTGTTTATTTTAGTTGTAGTTACATGTCTCTTTCTGTCATTTTTCTTTCTTTTCCAGATAATATGATATTTTTCTCTTTTATGGTAATCATAATTTGTAGATTAGATGCTTGTGATGATCTTTTAGACTGTGTTTGGATCATGGATTTTGACAATGATTTAAAAAAGGAAAGGGAAATGGAGAAAAAATCTGACTTATATTTCATTGACATTTCACTCACCTTTTCTCTTTTCCTTTCCAAATCCCTACACAGCCTTAAAGTTTAATATATGAGTCGGTGCACAGACCTCTGGATCTATGATATTTAACAAAGGTTTTGGGACTCCTGATTATTTGACCAATAATGTTACTGTTTATTTAGTAATCAAGTAAAATAGATGGCCATAATCTGCTTATTCATTCTATGCTCTTCATTATTTTGTCTAGACATTGACAGCGAATACTACCATAGGGCAAGAAACACTTGAAAGCCGTGGATTGCACTTTCACGGATACTTATTTTGGATATCATTTGGCGCCTTACTTGGATTTATAATAATTTTCAACATTGGATTTACCTTGGCCTTAACCTTCTTAAACCGTAAGTTTGTCTTTTGATTACATGAAGTCAACATAAGAATTGCAGAGTGATACGTGCTTATTTCATTTCATAATAAATTCAGCTCCTGGTTCTCGTGCTATTATTTCAAATGAAAAGCTTTCCCAAATTCAAGGATCTGAAGATTCCTCCAGTGCTGCCAATGCAGAAGCAAAATCTACAGATTCTCCTAACAATACTACACAATCTCATGAAGGTCATGTATTTTTAGATTTTTCTTCATTCTCTTATAATTATTGAAACCATTGCTTCACATGATTCTTTTCCTTCATTTATCTTCTTATTAGTTTATTCCTGTTTCACTTAATAAGGGTGGGTAATCTTGTTTTACAGGTCTAGTGGTTTTACCTTTTGAACCCCTAACTCTGGTGTTTCAAAATGTGCAATACTATGTTGACACCCCTGCGGTAATCATATAAACAAATCTCTTATAAATCTTATGTACCTGTTAAATATTTAGAACTAATTGGATCAAATTACATTGGTTGATTGTGTCATTTTTCTTTGATTTCAGGCAATGAGAGAAAGGGGGTTCACTCAGAAAAAACTCCAACTTCTTTGTGACATTACAGGTGCATTTAGGCCTGGTGTTCTTACAGCATTGATGGGTGTCAGTGGAGCTGGGAAAACAACTCTTATGGATGTTCTTGCTGGAAGAAAAGCTAGTGGCACTATTGAAGGAGATATTAGAATTGAAGGGTTTCCCATGGTTCAGGAGATGTTTGCGAGGATTTTGGGTTACCGTGAGCAAACCGACATACATTCTCCACAAATTACAGTTGAAGAATCAGTGGTTTATTCTGCTTGGCTGCGTCTGCATCCTGAAATTGATTCAAAAACTAAATTTGTATGACCTATATATAAGGAAGTTAAATTTACTCTTTAATCTACAACAATAGTTTAAACATTATTTTACTTTTGTTGCTGCTGCACATCTTTGCAGGAATTTGTGAAAGAAGTCCTTGAGATCATTGAGCTTGATGAAATCAAAGATTGCTTGGTTGGCATGCCCGGTGTTAGTGGTTTATCAACTGAGCAGAGAAAGCGGCTTACGATATCCGTGGAGCTTGTTGCTAACCCCTCTATTATTTTCATGGATGAACCTACAACTGGATTGGATGCAAAAGCAGCTGCAATTGTTATGCAAGCAATGAAGAACGTGGCTGAAAACCAAGCATTGACATGTTTGAAGCATTTGATGAGGTAGGAAAGCAATTAATGAACTATTTTAAGAGAACTTGGAACATAAAGTCAATTTGGATACTGAAATGGAATTAATTATGCGAGTTTTAACTCGGAAAATTACATTCCCAATTGCCTTCTACTAAAGAAATGACACATGAAAGGGCCACGTTCAAGACTAGTGTTACCTCTTGATTTGAAGCCTTTCAAATATTTAGCATTACTATTATTATCTTTGTGAGAGTTGGTATTGTGGCCAATTCTCTTAACAGCTTGACCTATTATTGCAACTGCTTTCCTAACATGGTATCTAAGCTTTACTTCTCAGAAGTATTGGGTTAATGTCTATCCATGTGTATTTCAACCATTTTAAATGTAGAAGTTCGACTAAGTTTCTATAAGCTCAGCAACAGGTTTCCTATTGTTTGATGATGTTGAATGTGCCTTACCACCAAAATCTTTCAAATTATTTATTTTTTTCACAGATAATAGCTAGACCTTCTATGTGTTGCCCTCTATTGCATCACAGTGAAATTTGGTCACTTGTGCATAATCAATTCAAGACCTGTTTGATGTTTACAGAGAACATCCACTTTTAAAAATTGTCTTCTAATTCTAATCCAATTTCATATTTGTGATTCAATGTAAATAAATTAGGTCTAATGCCTCCTTGATACTGATTGCAGTTAATTCTATTGAAATCCGGCGGACGAATTATTTACTCTGGACCACTCGGTCAACATTCAAGCAGTGTCATTGAATATTTTGAGGTCAGTTTGCTGCAGGAATACATAAGCTCTTAGATGTTTTTCCCTTTAATTTGTGTACATGGTATGCTTCTAAAAGTAGGAATTTAAGTATTGCTTCATCTTAATTTCAAGCATTTCTCTCTAACAGGATATCTCAGGGGTGCAAAAGATAAAAAATAATTACAATCCAGCAACATGGATGTTAGATGTCACTTCTACATCGGCAGAAGCTGAACTTGGTGTTGATTTCGCCCAAGTTTATAAGAACTCTGTCTTGTATCAGTAAGTTCAACTGCTCACTACTTCTTTCTCTTTGGAGTTAGGATGGTCATTACAAACTTGCTTGGTGTAACTGCAATGCAGAGGAGTCTATCTCCTGAAAATAAGCATCTTTCAAATTTATTAGTTATGTGGACGTTTTACCCAATATATCTCTCAAATTGTTTAGGTTTTTGTAGTCTTAGGTGATCTTAAATGGTTTTTGGGAGCCCATGCTAGTTGTGTAGTAGAGGGCTTTTTGATTTCAAGGAATTAAGAGAGTTCAAATGACTAAAGTTTTAAAGTAGCAGCTTTATCGTTTTTGATGGCTGGGTTGTGGTTATATGACAATCCACTGGTAGTTAATGTTTGAGATCTTACATTTCATCTTGAAGCTCAAGTTGTTCCGCTAGTTGCTTTAAGCGTAGTCGTTGGATATTGGATATTCAAATTTTAATGACTAATTATAATAGTCTTCCATTTGACGTAAAATATGGATATTGGCATTGACGATGCATTCAAATTTTACTTCGAATTTCTGTGAGAGACTGAGAGGCAATGGGTGTGGAACCTTTAATTTGGACACTTTTTTTTCTCCCTAGACAAGATGAAATACTGGAAACCAGTTATTTATGATACAATAATGATTGTTTTATGATAACAGTCTTCACTTGTGTATGACTCATTGTCGGTCATTGTGATTGTAGGAACAATAAAGAACTTGTAAATAGGTGGAGTACCCCACCTCCTGATTCCAAAGAGTTGTATTTTGCAACCCGCTTTGCACAAAATGGTTGGGGACAGTTCAAATGCTGCCTCTGGAAGCAACACCTGTCTTATTGGAGAAGTCCTGCATACAACTTGCAGCGTTTCGTGTACATGACTTTCGCATCTTTGCTTTTCGGGGTACTGTTTTGGGATCAAGGAAAGAAATTGTAAGTAAATCAAATTGAACTAGATTGTCAATGGTTTGATAGATTAGAAGATATCAGAAACAAAATGCCTAAGGATATTTTGATCCAAAAAAAAAAATCGTAGTTAAAACTTTTTTTGTTTTCATAGACAAAAAATACCACCAAATGCAGTTCTCTGATTCCTTTGAACTCGGATGACTATATTTATTGGATCTGGGATTCCATTATTATTTTATTGGATAGACTTCTGGGCATGCCTTAACATAAATAATCCTTTTATTTGATAGAAAGAACCAGCAGAGCCTTTTCAATGTATTTGGTTCAATGTTCTCCACTACAATATTCTTGGGCATAAATAATTGCTCATCAATTTTACCATATATCTCAACGGAGCGATCTGTTTTGTTTCGGGAAAGGTTTGCCGGGATGTATGGTTCGTGGGCTTATGCACTTGCTCAGGTATAAATTTCTTAAATATTTGATTTTGTTATGAAAATTTATTATCTAGTAATTTTTTAATGAGCTTTTTGTTAATAGCACTTCCTACATACTTAAATGCAACTCTGCTAATTTTGTAGGTCACGATTGAGATTCCCTATCTCCTAGCAATATCAATTGCATTTGTGGTTATTACATATCCAATGATTGGGTATTATTGGTCAGCTTATAAGGTTTTCTGGTATTTTTATGCCATGTTTTGTACATTACTATACTTCAGTTATCTGGGAATGCTGCTTATTGCAATGACACCGAGCTTTCCAGTGGCTGCAATTTTACAGTCCGCCTTCTACACAATTTTCAACCTGTTCGCTGGATTTCTGATACCTCAACCGGTAAGCTAATAACCTATAGTTATTGTGGTACTACGAAGCATGGATATGGATACGAATGAGGACATGGGACGCGATGATTTTTAAAAAATTAGGACATGAACACCGCGGGAATAAAGAAAAAATATATATATATATAAATTATATTTGCTATGTATATAACTATTACATCTATAAACAAACAAAAATAATGAAAATTAACACTAATTTAACATAAAAGCAAACTAAATTTAAATCAGTCAAAGACTAGATTTGTGTTGCATTAGGGCTTTAGGATCATTGGAAGCCAGTGTGTCTCAACTTCACAAGAGGTTAGATCTACGTTGCATTGGCGATGGTTTGATATAATTTTATTTTTATTTTTAAAATTTAACCCTTATATTTTCAAATATTTCAATATGACACTCAAAATTAGCTTTTAAAAATTAAAATGAGACCTCACTATGCCTTGAAGTGTATCTCATTGTGTATATAAATATTACGAAAAAGGACGCACCAATGTGGCATAAGAAAATGGGCGCACCATGTGGCATGTCAGACGTGTGTCCCCGCCATGTCCGTGTCCCATACGTGTCTAACACTACTACAACACCTATTTTGAAATATCAATGCTTCATAATTGTGGTATTTGCATTGATTTTAACTAACATTTTGTTGCAATTTAGATTATTAATTACAAATAAACTATTTGTTGTGGTGATAATAGAACATGGAAAAAGCCATTATGCTATCTTGCTACCATTTACCTAGTTTGCTAGGAGTCAACTTGTACAACCCTAAATTATAACTTTATTTTCATGATATCTCTTACTCTCTCCTCTAAAACCTGAATCTTTCTTTTCACATAAGTCCCTAGAAAACCCATAAGTCCTATTCCTAAACTACATTTTATAACTTGAATTCTTTACTCAGACCCATAGGTCCTATTTTTAAACTCTCAGCTCAGAGTCTGGAAATTTGCTTGAAAATTTTGAGTTTTCAATCCCTAGCAACAAGTATTCTGTTGGGTCTGAGTAAATGAACCATTTTCACTTTGGAGATTGGATCATGAGCGAAATCATCTAGCACAATTTGTTGAGTAGAAGTCTGAAAATGTATGAATTCACAAAGCATTCTGTTGGTTTTTCTTACAGGTGAAACTTTTTTGCCATCTAGAATGAGGAAATCTTATACATTGAACATGATACATAGAGAATTAATCATAACTTAATAAAAATGAAATGTTTTTTTACCAAGTGCTTAAAATTATAATATTAATATTGATATTGATGCTATAGATCTATTAGAACTTGTTGGTTTTTGGAGTTTATTAAAATTCAAGGGTCCCAAGGTTTTGTACCAATCGCCTGATTGGTTGTGTTTTTGGAACAAAAGCAATGAAAAGTTTGAAAACACTCATTGTTTTCATTTTTATGAGCAAAAACCAATTTTTGAAATTTTGAAAACAGCTTCTAAAAAAAGGGTTGTTTTTAGAAACTTAAGTGATACTAATCTAGTTGTGTTTTATATTTTGCTTCTTGCAGCAAATTCCCAAGTGGTGGATTTGGTTGTATTATATAAATCCGACTGCTTGGACACTAAACGGTATGCTTACATCGCAGTATGGAGATATAGACCAGAACATTAAGGTGTTTGGAGAAACCAAAACTGTTGCGGCCTTTTTAAGAGATTATTTTGGATACAGACATGATCAGTTACCCATTGTAGCTGTTATGCTCCTTATTTTCCCCATTGTTTTTGCTTCTCTGTTTGCATTCTGCATAGGGAAGTTGAACTTCCAGAGGAGATGAATCTTGCAAATCTATTTGTTTGTATCTTAGTGAATGGATTGTTTGTCACATTGTAATTGTTTCATCTAGCTTATGTATAATAGTACCGTGACTGTTATGAAGCTGTGGCAATTTGGGTGTTCAAAGTAATCATAAATAATCAATGAAAAATAAAACAAATACATACCATGATACATGATTTACGTGGTTCGCCTTATAGGCTACGTTCACGGATAATACAATAAGAGTACTTTCATTATGGAGGAAATTTACAAGTGAATTCAATTCGTCTTTATTCACCCAAAAAAAGAATTCAATTCGTCTCTCGCACCCTTAAATCCAATACACTGATAAATATACTCAAGTATTTTATGTACTCCTCTCTATATTTCTATTTGTTCGTGAATTGTGTTAGATTTGAGAAATTACGATCCTTTTTTATAATTGAAGTTCTCAGGACTTAAATGTATAAAAATTGTATGTGTTTTTTATTTTTTCGTCTTTTTCATCAAATTTAGTTTTTTTATTTATTTATTTTTCTCTAGAAATAAATTTTAAAAATCAAACCCAACAAATGTAATTTGTTTTTCTTAATTATTTTGTCAATTAACACACTATTATTGTTCAAAATTATATGAAGAAACGTCTGATTTAGATAAAACTCATTCGATTTTCTCCCGTCTATACATTGGAGGAGGGTGTTGCGACTTGTGGGCCCAATATTCATGTCATATGATATTTATTTGTCAAATTAGATTGGGTGAAATTATAAATACAGTGAATTGAGTGAGTGAATTATTAATTTATTAGTATGTTGGTATTAAATTAAAGATGTTAGATAAATATGTGTATTAAAATAATAGTATTAGTTGATTGAGATTAAATTTATGAAATTACTTAAAAACCTTTATTATAAAAAAAATGCGACTTTTTATTATAAAGTATTGGCAATACAGTCTTTTTCTCTCCAATCCCACATAGAATTGGATTATCAAACCCAAATGAATTTCCTAGTGTGATATGTTTGTTTTGGAGTTTTCAAAAATAATTTGCTAAGTTTTCAATCTGTATTTTTTTATTTTTAGTGAATTTTTTTAATCACTTTCTTTTACTTTTCAGATACACTTGAAAAGTAAAAAATTTGAACAAAAATATTTCAAAAAATTTCTTTGAATAAAATAAAATATGAAGAATTTTGGTGGGCTTGTTTGGTTTGTATCAAAAAGATATTTTTAAATTTTTTAAAAATAATTTTTAGCCTCCAAAAAAAAAATTATATAAATGATATTTCTTTCACCAAATTAACTTTAATTTTTTTTTAAAAAAATATTCTAAAACAAATTTCTGAAAACCAAACCAAACATGGCCTGTATTTTTTTATTTATATTTATTGCATTCAATGAATTTTTCAAATTGTTTTTACATAAATTTCATATTTTTTAAGCGTGTCTAAATTAAATCAATTTAAGAATTAAAAAATTACGAAAAATAAAAAATACAAATTCAAAATTCAAGAAACAATTTTTGAAAACTTTTTCAAAACAAACATCATTTTGATAAGCCGTCAACATTTTTCACACATCGGCCCACATTCTTGAGAGGCCCAATCCAGAATAACAAGTCTGGTTTGCTTGTGGTGACAGTTACGGGCCGATTACGTGGATCAGGCCTTTTTGTCTCATCAGTTCACCTTCCCGCCCAATCGCGTTCAAATCTCTCTCTCTCTCTCTCTCTCTCTCACATCAATCATCCCAAACTCACACACAAACTCTTGGTCAGTGGATTTCAATGGCTACCAGGTCAGGTAAAGTGAGAAAAACCCTAATTTTCTCATCCATAACTCATGTACATATACATAGACATACATATAAATGAATGTATTGTGAATGTTTCAGGTGGAAAAGCTGTGGATCTCTGGGCAGAACTCATAGCTGCTGAAGAAGCAGAAAATCATCACCACCCGCAACCACCACAAATTGCTGTTGTCTACTGCCGCAAAAATGCCCTGAATTCCCACCAAGATGAATCAAAGTAAATATTTAACCTTTCGAATTTCGAATTTTTTGTTTTTGATAATCAAAATTTTATTTTTTTGTATTTGTATTTTCTAATTCTTCAATTTCGCAGGAGGCTATCGAATTCCAGTAATCAGAGTAGGTTGAGTTTGGCCCCCGTAAAGCGAATCAGTTGACAGACTATTAGGGAGCATTAGAAGATACTCAATTTTAAATATTGGGAAGTATGCTCAATACTGACCGAAATATTATATTTAAATAGTTTTATTTATTTTTTTATAATTTTTAAAGCATTAGAAGATAAGTGACTAATAATACACATTTTGTAATAAAAATTAGGGAGGGACTCATTTATAGAACAACTTTCACATTTTTCTTCATTTATTTCCAATGTGGAATTCTACAAATTTTTATAAAACCCTTTTACACCAAATCGACAAAATCGAACGGCGTTAAACATTCTCGCAACCCTTTCCCTTATATACTTGAAATACCCAGAAATTTGGTGACTGAATTGTGAGGTTTTCTCTATTTATTTTATTTATTTTAGAAAAGTACTTCTATACAAACTAATAACTTTTACAAACTTTTTTTTACTCACATGAGTTGATCCTATCACATTTTTCAAGTGGGTTCTGTTCAAAATTCTAAAGTTTCATTTGTGTGTCACATTTGTTATTAAAAAAAGATTTGTTAGTATGTGTAGTATTTTCCATTTTAGACTGAATCTATCTTGCATTTTGTTTTGAGTTAGTACTTTGTGTTTGTGTCGTTAAAGTTGACCTTGTGTTCCATAAATTAAATGGATAAGAAGAATGAAATAAACCTAGGCTATAGGTGATTTTGTGGCTTGAAAAAGTCATTTTTTGGAGCATTCTCATCTGAACAGTACTAGGTTTAAGTGAAAAGCATAAACAAAGAGATAAAGAAGACTACAATGCAAAAACAAACCAAAAAAAATTATCTTTACTAATACAAAGTTAACATGATCTAAATGCATGTTGAAGTTTGGACATGAATGCTTTTATGGGTTGATGTGCTAAACTTAAACTAAATTTTGATATGAAATCTCAAGTAAATAAGTAGAGAGTAAGAAGACTTGAATGCACGAACAAAAAAAAAAGAGACAAATTTCACTTTACCCTCTTGTGGTTTTGACCCATGTGCGGATTACCCCTTCTCATTTGGAAATAACCACATAGCCGCCTTATAGTTTGTGAACTGAAGTGTACTGTTAGAACCGTTAACGATTTAATGAAAAAGACTAAAATATACCCCTGTATATAAGTAACCTAAGTGTATGAACTATAGATATTTTCGTCATTTATTTGGGAGTCAAAATTCACTTTAACCCCTGTGTTTTATTCTATGTGTGATATATCCCCTTGAAATTGGAAAACGAGTGTATAAGCCCCCTTATGTTTAGCACATGTTTTATACTTGCTGTTAAGTTAGACAAAATGTTTAACGGTGCATTTCAGTCCACAAACCACAAGGGGTTTATGTGGTTATTTTCAAAAGTGAAGGGGGTAATCCGCACATAGGCAAAAGCACGAGAGGGTAAAGTGAAATTTACCCCAAAAAAAGTTATGCAAAATATTTACAATTCAACATTTACATGATCTACCATCATACCATGCATGTTGAAGTTTGGACATGAATGCTTTTATGGGTTGATAAGCCAAACTATACTAATTTTGATATGAAATCCCAAGTAAATAAGCAGATAGAAAGAAGACAACAATGCACAAACAAAAATGCATTGTTGATTTGCACAACATTAACACCATCTACATGGATGTTGAAGTTTGGACATAAATACTTTTATGGGTTGGTGTGAATGCCCAAGCAAATAATTATTTCAATAAATATCGTCAGTCTTTTTCTCTGCTTTTGTTTTTATGTGTCTAGTTGACTGCATCAATTTTATGCTGTTCAAGGAAAATATAGTTTTGTTTTTTGGGTACAATTTATCACATTCTTTGTTAGTCATTGGATCTATTTTTTATAGCCACTTAGTTTCCAATTTGTTGGACTTGCTTAGCCAATATCACAACTTGGAACAAGAACAACTTTTTTATCTCCAAAATACATGTGATGAGCATTTTTAGAATTTAAGATCTAGGTTGAACCAAATGTTGTTATATGAAGCAGAATCTACCTATTCAATTCTTTGGGACCTTGGACAAGATTATGTACTAGAGTCATTGTTGGACTCTTTTCCATATTTACTATCATTGTAGACATGACACATTCAAAACTTTCACCTCTTCAATGTATATCTTTGCTGGTTTGAATTTTCTAACTCTACTATGGACTCAAGTAAACTTATGTGTTTCATAACATTTTGATTCACTACCTATTCATCATTATTTTTTGTTCTGGCTTTTCTGTTACTGTTTGCAATCTGAGTTTGCTCTTGGCACCTTATGGTTTTGTGCTTGACATTCACGAGTTAGTTCTACGAGCATTGTGCGAGAAACTATATCATGTCAAGGCCTTTACAGCCTCGCCACCCTTCTACTGTTTTAGGGGGGTTAGGATCAACTTGTACTTGATGTAGAACTTTTTATTTTTTTGGCCCTTCCTAACTTTTGTTGAATCCATATTTTTCAAAACTGGTGGTTTGGAATAATGTGCTCTTCCCATATCTATCATGCTCACAAGATTTTTAGCCCTAGGAGATTAAGAAATCTTTATTCATGTCCCTCCAAATCAGTTATGTAATAGGAGAGAAGAAAAAATATGATTATGTAACCCACAGTATTATATGGTTGAAAGCTGAGGCAGCTTTTGACTTCTGATTTGTCTAAAATTTGGCAACCACTAAGAGCATGGAAGGAGCATATAATATAAAGGTTGGTGTGTGAAATTTGAGTCTGACAAAAAGATAATAAGAGGGGTACTAGAATAATTTGTCTTTTTCATAAGGTTAGAGTTGATTGTCCCTATAACATGCATTATATATCTCATATATTAGGCCACTGTTAGGTAGCTTCGTGGCTAAGGCATTGTCAGTGCAATCTTTCAGATAAACCCACATGGGTGTTCATGCATGTGTACACTGTGGATTTTACAATGGCTTCCTTCCTATGAAGCACGGATACTTCAAATAGGGTGACGTATGTGTATCGTATCCGTATCGGATACCGATACTCCTTGGATATTCGCGCATACGTATCGAATACTTATTAAAAGTATCGGAATACTTAATTATTTTTTCATTAATTTTGGAGTATCGGATACATAATTATGAAGTATCGGATACTCCAAATCATGTTTACTTGTTTTATGAAATTAGAATTGTAGCATTTCTTGCATAGTAATAGAATATAATATAATTGCAAGGATAAATATAAGAATATTTTTCTAATACTTTGTTAAGCTCTTCGATAAGAAGAGCATAGTGAGTCAAACAATAGAATTTGTCAAATTGATGTATCCTAATTATTTCATGCATGTCCCCATAACTGCATAGAAAGTAAGAATTAACAAGAGAATATAACAATGGTAAAATTAAATATCAATAAATAAATAAACAAGTAAACTTGAATACAATATTTTTCACTAGTGTCTAAGGAAAAAGGATAAGGTAAGGACAAGTTGTGAATTGTTCTATTATTGTAATATAAACATATTGAACTTTTGATATTGAAATGAAATATTTGCAAGACCTATTAAAAATTTAAAAGGTAAATCAGCTACTAGCTTAAATTAATACATAATTCTTAAAGGTTAATATTTTGCATTATAAAACTACATTGTGATTTCTCAACGTTCTTTAGCTTATGTGCAACTCACTATTAATAATTTTTAAAAATATATCTTTCACAAATGTATCCTAGCCGTACCCGTATCCTATTTTTTTAGGTTTTGTCGTATCGCCTTATTCGTATCTCGTATCTATATCCATGCTTCCTAGCTTCCTTCTGAGAGTACTAGTTTCTTCTTTTAATTTTCCTGTTTTATGCTTTTTAACAATATCGGTTCAAGTATTTTATTTTCTCACCAACAGAGGGAGGACTAGTATTGCTGCCGCTGCATGTATAGATTATCAGCATCAACAAAGGAAGCCAAGGAGAAAAATAAAACCAGCTATTCCTAGAGTATGACTCAGTTATTTCAATCCATGATCTTTTTTAGTAGTGGTTTTATTGGTGAATTTGCTGTCCTTTATTATGTTTTTAACTTTGACCACATTCTGGTAAGTCAAAATAAGGTGAAAATTCATGGCCAGGAGTGAGTTGCCTGTTTTCAGTTTTGACGCCCATTTAAGAAAGCACTGGGGATTCCATGCAATTTAAATTAAATCTTACATATACTTGCTGATGCACTACTTCAATCCAATGTCTTTGGTGTATTCAGGGAAAAGCTCTTCCACCTCCAAACTTTGATATGGAGCGAGCATACTTTCAAGACGTTGATTCCTTTGAACTGTTAGAGGAAAGCCCCTCACCCAAAAAATCTGGTTCATGGGCAATTGGCATCCAAAGTGATGACATTGCTATACCATATAAGTCCACAGTACTACAGAAATGGTTAATCTCTAAGAAGCTAAATCACAGTTGTGGACCTTCGGGTTCTCTGTCTAAGATATTAGAAACTCCTGCATTACCAGGGGAATCCATTTGCAATGGTGGTTTTGACTCTTCAAGTCTGAAAACCCCAGGAAATACATCTCTGCATATAAATTCTGGTTTACATAGTGTCCAAGACAAATTCAATTCAAGTCTCATGGATAAAGATGATGTTGAAAGGCATATATGTTCACAGAAAAGCAACAAAGAGTTCCAGACTCTGGGTGATGAGGGTTGCAAAGACATTGAGGTTGCAGTTGGTAAACTCTCTCTGACGTCAAGGCCTGCTTCATTAGATAGTCATCAGTTGGATCCTTTTTCAGCTCTTTTAGCAGTTTGCGGACAGTCAGCTCCGTCAACGCTGTTGGATGTATTCTCCAAGTATTGGTTTGTACTCCCAGTAAACCTAATATATTTTATTAATGAATCTTGTATATCCCATTTATATGGTTGTGGTGTTAGAAAGTGAAATGTTGCCTCATTTGATTTCCTTCATATGCTCTATTTGTTCTCATCCTTCTGACTTCCTACTCTTTTTTTCTTCTTTTTTTCCTTCGTTTATTCATACTTTTATATGATGCTGCACCCTTGACAATTCCTGCATGTGGTTCCTTGCCTATTTTTTTCTATTTAGCTTTAGTTGACTTTAGTGATCTGATATTCTCGTATTAAGATCCAAGTTCTTTTTTCTCTTCATTCGTCCCCCCTTCAGCTTGGCTATTGGATTACTATTGCATGTTTTGGATCTCACTTCATTTGTGTTAAATCCTGTTCTAACAAGGAAAAAATGTCATCATTTTTTATTGCTTGTTTTGTTTTTCATCTGGTTGCTTACATTTTTTTTCCTGGTTATTTCTTTAAATCCTAAGTTAAAAGATGGTGTATTTCCATTACTTTTATGAATAGAAACTAGTGCAACCAAGTTGTAAACTTGTAATACACATTGAGGTGGTAGACGAACATTGACATTGTCTTCATTCATGAAACTGTGGCTACTGTAGCACATGAGTTATTTGATTGATGATCATGGTCAAGGTTAAAGTCTATGGTAGGCTTCCCAAGGGCCCCTTCTTTTTCACAGGGATGCTTAACTTGTGAGGAATGGTTCTTGAGATACAAGATTATAACTCGGAGAAAGTAAAACAAATTCATGTGCCAGATCAATACACTCTGGCTTGCTTAAGCTTTTGGGGAGACATGGCCCTCATTGATGGAAGGTCCTGTGATCCTTCAGTTATTGCAATCTTCTTTGGTCTTCTGTTTCTTCATCACCTTAGCCAAACATGAATTCTAGTTCTGAGTTCCAGTTTTTTGGTTGTTCAAGTAAATAAACTCGTTCAGTTTATTGCAAACCATTAGTTTTGCGTTGATGCAAGTCACACTTAAGCTTTGTTTTCAAGCAAGTTTTATTTGAATGTGGACCCTGCATTTCCCTTTGATGGACAATTGAACTCTCTTGAACACAGTGATCCAAAAAGTATTGTCAAGGTTGGCGAAGGTACATATGGAGAAGCTTTCATAATTGGCGAAACTGTTTGCAAAATTGTTCCATTCAATGGAGATTTACGAGTGAATGGAGAAGTGCAAAAGGTATTTATCTTCCAAAAGCATGCATCAGTACACTAGCTAGGAGCCAAGATAACCAATGATGTCATGTGCTTCTAGGTGCCCTATGAAGCATAGATATTTGACAAACATGTCGTACACATAATGGGTAGTTTGTGGGCACAAGTACTTCATATGGTTACTTCATACGTATCGGGTACACAACACACATAACCAATTTTTTTCCTCTTAATTTTTGTCGTACCCCCAAACGTACCTAGTAGATACCCAAACCATACCTCAATTGGAATAGTATTTTCTTTTAATACATAGGTAAAATTAATTTCATAGGACTTTTTATTATTATTTATGCTTAGCATGGCCACGCTATGGTTTGTAAGTTATTTAATATAATGACATTTAATTTTGATTTATACATTTACTTTTGGCATTAAATATGTATTGTAGGTTGGATCTTCACAAACTAAACCATTTAACTATTTTTTGTATTACTCCAAATTAAAAATAAATATTTTTTTACAAATGTACCCAGCCGTACCAGTACCTTTTTTTTTGATGAAGATTTTACCATATCATAGCCGTACGTACCCGTGCTTCTTAGTAGGTGCCTAGGCCTGCCTTTGAGTTTTTGGTTGCCTGCTACCTTTTTTACCATAATTGACTACTTACCATTAGATCAACACTTAATTTTTTGGAAGGTTTCTAGGCAGAACAGTGTTCTTAATATTGAAAACAGAATATTAGTTTTTGCATGCATACATATACGCCACATCTTTTCTTGGCTTGGTGGAATGTAGGAGGTGGTTGTGTTAATCTAAGACCTTGTTTATTTGCTAAAACATTTTTTTTCCTTTATATGCTCTAGAGATCAGAAGAATTACTTGAGGAGGCCATACTTTCTCAGACTCTGAATTATTTGAGAGGACACGATGGTCATGTTTCCAATTCCTGTACAACATTCATAAAAACTACAGAGTAAGTTTTATGCCTAATTTTTCATATCATTTGAAGACTATTTAGCTTGTTTGAGATCCTTAAACCAGCTAGCCTGTTTCATATTAATAATTTGTTGGAAAAACATACCTGACAGATAAAATGAATTTCAGATAGCTATCCTTGAATCTGTGTTTCACAAGATACATTTACCTCTTCAAATGTTTCTAGGTCTATGGTTGATATTCTAATTTAGTCTCTTTGCAGATTTGTTGGGTGGTACTGAATTTTTGTCCATTTACTTGTTCTGTTGTTTAATTATGGGTGTCAAAGTTTTTCATTTTCTTTTTTTTTGGTATTTTTTTTCTTTATTTATGTATGCATGCTCAACTGCAAGGCAATGTTAAGTTTAATCTGCTAACTAGTGCAACACTCTCTCTTTGGACTCCGTTCAGTTGTCAAGAACATTGTACAGGAAAATGTTTCCTGAGAAAAATGAATCAAAAGAAAGGAAAGGAAAAGACGACAAAAATGATTTACTTTCCTGTTAATTGTTCAGTTTCTTTTTATATACAAAAACGATTTTAATTTTACTCTATGTATCCTGTACTTTTTACAGGAAAGTATTTGAGGTACAGTGTTTCCTTTAATAAAATAATTATGATGGTATCTATATTTTTCTTCAACAACTTAACACATTTACAGGAAAAGAAAATACTTTTTATTTTCCTTTTCCTTTTCTGTCAATTGAACACAACCTTGGTGGATGCACAGTGGTTGTGCATAATTGGGTAGTGGTCTGTCTGTGTACTTTGAAAAGTCAACACACGAGTAAAGGACATGGACATGGACATAACAGAAGGCAATATGTAAATTTATTTTCTTGTGTATATTGCTACTATTCTCTTTATGTATAATGGTATTCGTTTTGTACAACTTAATCCTCTTATATATTAAAAGTCTCTTGCATGTTGACATGTCTTGGTGATAACAATATTAGATTACTTTTGAATTTTTTTTAAAATTTGTATGAACCTTATCTGAATCATTTTATCTACAAGTCTCAGAAGACTATAGTATTCAACATGGAAGAACTCCTCCTAAGAAGTGTTGGTTCATAGTTGGGCGTCTCTAACCCTTTCTGATGTGCAACGCTAGTCATCAATAAAGTAGTGCACCAACTGACTATATTGTGCGAACTTCAGAACTGTCTACCTAATATGCTAGTCAAGGTTATTTTATCAAAAAAAAAAAAATGTTTGTCAAGGTTATGTTGTCAATCAACATAGTTGTGACGCATATTTCAACTCAATATTATGCTTAAATCTCACTATTATAGTTTAAAAAATATAATATTTTCAAATGGGAAATTCTTCAACATAGCTATGTCTGTCAAACTTGGGATTTCACCTGAAATCATGGTGAAATTTTAGTAAATTATTCAACTCCAAACTTGTTTATTCTGGGAGGGCATCTGAGGATGCCTTGGCTCCTAGTTAGTTGGAATCAGATTTTGAGAATTTTAGTTATGAGTGACTCAGATTTGATGCATGAATTTCTAGTAAACTGAACCATGAGGTCATTTCCTTGGAAAACTTTTCTTCTGCCTCACAGGCAACACTCAAATTTTGAACTCAAGGCAGAGAGAAAGATTGGAGACCCAGAAAGATGATATTAAGTTGCCAAATTTTGTTTGTTCATTCCACAGGTTAAGAGTATGCCAAGGCCCCTATGATGCTGCCCTGATAAGAGCTTGGGAAGAGTGGGATGGGAAGCATGGTTCAGAAAATGATCATCCTAAAGAGTTTCCAGAGAATCAGGTTGTTATTCTTTGCGTATTTGCCATTTGTGCATGTATACTTGTTTATGTTAAATAGCATTGCTATCACTGTCAGCTATATGCAACATAACTACCAATTTTTGGAAACTGGCATATTTTATTACAATGTCTATGTAGCAAGCTTCTATAACCTTAGGAAAAATAAATTCTCCTAGGCTTTGTACCATTTTTTTTTAGACTTGTTTTGAAATCTGATGAGCTTGCCTTCAGTGCTATGTTGTTTTTGTTCAAGAACATGGCGGTCAGGATCTTGAAAGCTTTGTGCTCTTGAACTTCAGTGAGGCATGGAGTTTATTGGTTCAGGTGAGTAACTGATTCTTTCATATTTTCTTCCAATTTTACTATAAGTTTTATTTTTTTGCCTAACTGCTTGTCTGTTGTGCACCACAGGTTACAATTGCCTTGGCCGTGGCAGAAGCTGCATATGAATTTGAACATCGGGATCTACACTGGTTTACTTACCATTCAATCTACTGTTGTAATAATGCTTTGTTTTAGTTGAGTCGCAACTTAGGATTATTTATTGCTTATTGTAGGGGGAACATTCTGTTAAGTCGGAAAGATTCTGTGACATTGCAGTTCACTCTTGAGGGAAGGAATATATCTATCAGGACATTTGGATTGGTGGTATCAATAATTGATTTCACTCTTTCAAGAATCAATACCGGTCAGAGCTTTACTAATATTTCACTTTAATTTTTTGAATACGGGATCTAATTTGTTGATAATTGTTAGTGTCGTTCTACATTCACAGGTGAAGATATTCTTTTTCTGGACCTTTCGTTAGACCCAGAGCTCTTTGAGGGCCCTAAAGGAGATAAACAAGTAAGACAAAGCAGTTTTAGCTATCAATTATGATGTCTAAGAAATTGCACTCAATTTATCATTGCTATAATGGGCAGTCAGATACTTACCGGAAAATGAAAGAGGTGACTGAAGACTGCTGGGAAGGAAGGTATAACTGTTGATACCTTCATCTCTTAATTGTCAAATCCAGTAGAGGGAACTGTGTGACATTATTGCTAGCTTTTTCTGAATAAAAAGATATTTGGAGTTGGTTACAGAAGCAATCAAGCTTTTAGATTAGTATAATGTCCTATTGCTGTTATGCTTTGTAATAATATAGTTGATCCTCAATTTCTCACAATCAGATATAAAACCAGTTGAATAGTAAAGGGAAAATGCAATTTAAATATTTAGTTGCAAAACCACAACTTGCTGAAATCAATTACTAGGTTTGCCTCTGATTGTGGGCAATTGAGGATCAACTCACAAAAACAAAAGGGTGGGGGAAAAAAACAAAGAAAAGCCTTTTCTTTATATAATATCATATATTTACAATTCTTTTCAGAATGGCTTTGATTCAAGGATTTTGGGATACCGAAAATTCCCTTATAAATTGGAGTTGGCTGTATGATCTTTTTTTATTCTAATTTAAAACAAAATGGGACAAAAACAAAGGCTTGTTGAGTTGTACTTTCTCAAAATGTTCTGCATTGGTTGTTATATCTGTCTTATAAATAGCAATGTTTTTCCTCTTACTCTGCCCATTATTGTCTTTGGCTGTTGTTGTCCTGTTAGCTCTTCCTTTTGTTTCAGCTTTGGATTTTTGGATGTAAAGAAATTTATGCATATCTTCAAATATTTTGCAACACATGGGATTTTGGTTCTGTTAGGAAGGAAATGCCAATCAAGAATTTAATCCTGTGGATTTTGATATCTACCATTACACTACCAGTTCCTTCTTTTACTCCTCTTCTCCTTTGTCTTTTCTTTTTGTTTTCTTTTCTGAGGTTGCATCATCCATGACATCATGAGAATCTGTCAATAACTGACTTTCAAAAGAGCATATGAGGCATTTTATGAATTCAACTTTTTAAATATTTCTTTACGCTGCGCTTGGTTGGGGATTTGGGAAGGCATTTGGAAAGGGAAAAGGAAAAAGTAGGTCATATTTCACCTAATTTCACACACCTTTTCTTTTTTCCTTTCCCTTTCCATTTCCAAATCTCTTTTCAAATCCCCTAACCAAACACAGTATTAGGGGTTTCCAATGTATGAAACTATGTTGACATATGAGATGGAAAGAAAATCAATACTTTCTTATTGTGTTTCCTAGACATTTTTATTTTTGTTCAATTTTTTCTGGATGCTGAGTTCCTTTTATCATTGTCATGCAGTTTCCCCAAGACAAATGTGTTGTGGTTGCAGTATTTGGTTGACATTTTGCTCTTAAAGAAATCATATGTAAGTCCTTTTCTTGGCAAAATCCTTTTACTTGATTTAGGCTATTTTCTCAACCAATACATAAAATACAGATTATTTATTACCAAAACATCTCTCAAAGGTGAAAAAATATGAAATGTTTACAGACTCGACACATACAATAAGACTCTACACAAAACACTCTCCTTACTCAAAGGTGAAAAACACACGTCTCTGTTGGGACAATTTGTAAATAATCTGTAAGGCTTAGAGAATTTTCTTAGTACCTGAGAGAGTAGGAAGTAGCAAAACAAAAAATACATTTCCTCTCACTGCCTTCCCCCTCCTCTACCTTGTTTAGGAGTTTTTTTTAACATTATTACATTATAATGTGGAGTTTGGCAATTGTTTTTTTAATTGCTTTTTTTGCTTTTCATAATCTAAAAAAATTGATGCGTTTGATAATTGCTAAAAAAGTTACTTTTGTTAGTGGAAAAGTTGGGTCTTTAAGCTTTTTCAGTTGTTTTTTTAGCTCAAGACAAACAGACTTGCTTTTTGGCTTATTTAGCCAAGACGCAACTTTTTTGGCCCATGCAAAACGGGCACTAAACTAATAGGAGAGAAGCTTCAGTAATAGACTGAACTGTTTGGTACTGACGACCGATGACATTTCAAAATACATATTCATCTTTACCTAAATTATTGTGGCAGGATCGAACTTCAAAAGATGAGAGAGATCTGCGTTCACTGAAGAAGCGCCTAAACAACTATAATTCAGCAAGAGAAGCAACCTCTGATCCTTTCTTTAAGGACTTGTTTGTTGATCATGCCATGTAATGGAAAGTGGATGATGCAGTAGAAAATGAGTCCATTTTTTTTTCCCTCTACTGTCTTAACTTTGCTCCTATATTCACCCAAAAAAAACTTTGCTCCTCCAGTTTTGAAGACTTCATATTCAGAAACCAACTTGGTTTCTTTTTTGTATATTGTTTACTGGACTGGAGTAGAGAATTTTTTTTTGGAGGAAAAGTTATTTCTCTCTAGATTATGTAGAAATAGAGTTCTAACTCTCACATGTTGGGACAGGTTTTGCACATTTAGCTTTTTGACAAAATTCTTGGCTTGCAGTTTGTAACAGTATTCACGACGATACACGACATAATATCACAGCTCTACTCATCTGTGCTGATCTCTTTCCTTGCTCACTCCAACTTACAAGTAATGTTTTATTTGCACATTAGGTAGCACTGAAAGACATTGGGGTATATAAGATAAGATAATTGGAAATGGGAAATTTTAATTGCAAACAATTGAAAGATTTGTAGTTAGCTTTTTTTCATTTTTCTATTTGTCAGATATTTCCCTAAATACATTTGATCCTTGATGCTCACATTTTGAGTCGTTTAGTTCCAAGATTTGTTGAGGAAAAGGACATGGTTAAGGGTAAAAAATGAAGGAAAATGATGGAAAAACTAATTCCTTGCTCTTGTTTATTGACTAAGAAAGTGAGAGTGTCATTGAAAAATATGCCAAATACAAGTTATTTCTTTCCCTTTTGAATCTTAGATCTAAACGTAGTATCAAAGTTTGTCTGTAGATATACTAGGGAGGCTCTTCTAGATGCAATCATTGGTGATGAATGTTACAAATGTGTCTTCTACGTCATTCATGTATGATGAGAATTGTGAACACTTCTTCTGATATTAATGGTTTGTGTTTTTTTTTTTTTTTTCCTTTCCCCAAAGTTAAAACAATGAGAAGTTTGAAAACAATCATCATTTTTATATTGTGCAAAAACAGTTTCTGAACTATTTTTTCTATCTCTCTTCTTTTTTCTTTTTTTTTTTTTTTAAGAAAAAAAAAGTGAGTTGTTTTCAAAAAAAACAAATTAAACACTTCACCAAATTAGTTCATGTTATGTTGCATTAGTTTACTTGATAGGTTTAAATTCAAGCCAAATAATATAAAGTTTTAACAAGTCATATAGGTTCAATTAAAGAAGTTTATTCACCTTGTGAATTACAAACGAATGAGTAAGATGGACCAATCTAAGTTGGTATTTGTGTAAGTTTTTAATTTTTTTTATGTTACATAAATTGACTTCACTATATTATAGATTTTCAATAGCAAAAAAAAAAAAAAAGATAAACAAAAGAAATTCAAACATTAGTCTTGATGAAAATAACTTAGATCAACTTTTTGTGAAAAATATCAATACCAGAATACATGACCCTTTTATTCAATATTACTATTCACTATTCACTCACATGCGCTATATGCACTATCACTCTCACTCATACAATTACAAAACAAACAATACAAACATAATTACTCACAAAATACAATTATAGAGAATGGATGATCATATAATAAAGAAGCTATTTTAATACTCAAACTCAATTTGAAGATATAATACCATATGGAGCTCCTTATATAAACAGAGGGGAGTATCTCTGGACTAACGTATAAGACATATAGGCCATGTTTGTTTGGGCGGACTGGATTAGCATTTCCATGACTAATAGTCTTAAGACTACGAATCCGTTGGATTATGTATCCTATCTTAACTAATAGTCAAGTTTAAAATAATTAGTTCGTACTTCAATTGTTTAACCAAACATCGGATTAATAATTTTATTGGACTATTAGTCCAATCCCAAACTCATGTCCACCCAAACAAACATGACCATATAGTACAGGGCTAATACAATAGTCCCATGAGGTTGCTTAGCAACCAATAGTAGAATACAAGATTCCTTTTATTCAATATTACTATTCACTCACATATGTAATATGCGTGGTCACTATAACTCATAAAATTATTACGAACATAAAAACATATATCTAAGACTTTTGCATAAGTAATCTATTCGACGTATTTTACTAAATTAATAATTCAAATCATTTCAGCCGAAGAGAGATATGTGCCCTTATCCATCTCCAAATCCCCTTGAGTTTCTTTTATCCTTGAGGTACTGAAAAATAGGTGGAACATGAAAACAAGGTGAATAAAAAATTTATTTGTCATTGATGTCAAATTCTACACCTACATGTCGTTCTCATATCCTTCCTCGGTTGACAAAAGGTTGAAATAGGGTAAGGTTTAAATATGAATAGATTAGTTATCCAAACAAACAAAGATGAACCTCCATGAGGTAAGAGGGCCGATCGCTTCCCTTACAATTTTAAAAAATCTTTTTATGTATTATTATTAGTTGTTAATTATTTTTAAATTATGCATAATCACTCCCTCTAATTTTTGAAAAGGATTAAGTGGTTGCACATCCCAAACCTCTACATCTATAAACCACCGGGCTTAAAGTAAAAAATTTAACAATTTAGACAAAATATAATAAAAAAGGGAGATTTTTGGTGAAACCCCTTTTTGGGCCTTTTTATTAGGGTAAAGGATAACCCAATCAATTTTTTTTCAAAAAGTCCATGAGTAGGAAATGCCTACCTTAATAAGGACATTTTATAATTTATATTTTTTTTTTATCACAATATTACCCTTCTATATATACATAGCATACCTTTGAAATATTTGAAATCTGAGCTGAAGATCTCGCAGGAACGAAATCGATGAAGACGATCTCCAAATCTAAAGATCTCGCAGCCAAAGATCTCTCACTTGGTCAACAATAGACGATCTCGCCGCCGACGATCAACACTCTCAATTAAACGAGAGTTTCATTGAGATTTATGATTGTTGATCGAGTTTTAAAAGTTTTTCTTCTCAATTAGATATGTTGATTAATTTGTTTTGTTTTTGTTTGTTTTTTTTTTTTGGATTTATTTTTTTTGTTTTTTATCTAATTTCATTTGATAGAACCAGAGTAAAATTTTACTCTGGTTCTATTGCTCTGTTTTTTGTTTCAGATAATGAGAATAAAATTTTACTCTGGTTCTATTGCTCTGTTTTTTTGTTTGAGAGAATTAGAGTAAACTTTTACTCTGATGTTAGAATGACAGTAAAATTTTGCTGTCAAGAGGTAGTCATTGCCAAACACTTCAGCCGCCACAAACACTGCCTTTGCTTTTTTACTTTTGTGCAGAGTAACATTTTACTTTTAGATTCAGAGTCTAACATTTTACTCGTTTTCCAGAGTAAAATTTTACTTTTATACAGAGTAAAATTTTACTTTTAATTTCAGAGTGTAACATTTTACTTTTATACAGAGTAAAGTTTTATTTTTAAATTCAGGGTGTAACATTTTACTATTAGATGTAGAGTGTAACATTTTATTCTTATTTCAGAGTAAAATTTTACTTTTATGCAAAGTAAAATTTTACTTTTATATTCATGTGTTGGTGACACACTGTATGAGTTGTCAATCTTTGGCAAAACTAATAGTAAAAATTAATTCTAAAATATAGTACAATGTTACACTAAACCACAGTAAAATTTTATCAATACATATTGACTTTTGGACTTGTGGTGACAATAAAATTTTACTTTGATAGTGATAGTAAAATTTTACGTTGATAGTGACAGTAAAATTTTACTTTGATTGATAGTAAATTTTTACTATTAATTGCTTCATATTTCCCCATTTATATGGAAGGACATTTCAGTTAATTCATGACATTTTTTTAATTGAGGGGCTTTTGGAGTCCTTGTTTAATTCCGTGGGTTTCACACAAAATAGGCCCAATGGGAAGGGCTTTTCACCAAAAATCCCTAAAAAAAGTTAGTATCAATAGATTGCCTTACAATTATTATCTTTTATAATTCAACATTAATATAAATAATAAAAAAAAAAAGCATTTTTATTTATATATATTTTTAATGTTAATGTTAATTTTCAATTTTTATATTGATAAAAATTGATATCATAGTCTATACTTTGATTTAAATTTTTTTTTTTTTTTGGGTGTAAATGTACATATTTACCCATCATTCCTACAAACAAATCATGTAGCATTTTGAAAAGTTAGTAAAAAGTTAGTTTTTTAACTTTTTTTTTAGTCTATTTTATCTTTTTATGAGTAAAAAATGTGAGAGATATGACTCAAAATGGATAAAAAGTTAAAATCAAACTTTTTTTTGTACTCTCCAAAAGATTGCCTTCGTTTGGTTGTCATCATTACATCCCGTTAAAATTTGACAATGCATAGCAACTTTTAATATTGATCACTGTGATCTAGGGGTAACCGAAATGACAAAAAAAATCATTATAAGAAAAAATTGCGTCTTTTGCTTCATTCATTAGATTACCTACAGTATTTTTTTATTAATATGAGCACTGAGCAGATAATTTTATGAAAAGCTGCCGTTTAGAAATTAGGATTTTAAATAGTGATATTAGAGATGTATCAGTATCAGTCGTGACATAACAATATTAGGAGCGTTTTGTAATTTTTTCAAAATTATCACCCACAAATAAAATAAAATTATAGCAGTCGAACTAACGGTATCAATTGTGAATGACTATGAACTTGATACATATTGACAAATATTTAAAACAATGGCACATAATTTTTTTTTTTAAACAATGTGCCGTTTTGGGAACCAAAATAAAAAGCCACGTTTTTGTCAAAATGTCCAAAAACGCAAGTGGCAAAAACGCAACAAAATTGGTTTGGAAAGTGCCAAAAACGCAAGTGTGAAATTACAAATTGGGGCCTATGACAAAAAAATAAAAAAATAAATTTCTTATGTTGGGTAAGGATATTTTGGTCATTTTAATTTGATTTGACACCATAAATAAATATTAAACTAAAAAGTCAAATACCAGCTTTTTACCAACTTCTCAAATCACTTTCCAAAAAGCTAAAAATCTTGATAAAAAACCAAAAGTTAACTTTTTACCAACTTCTCAAAACACTCCAATATGTAGGAGGGGAATACGGAAAAAAAAAGTTAAATCACATAATTATAAAACTCGAACGAAAACATCACCTAATGAAGAAGCACCTGGTCCACAAACCAACCCTTGGTCTTCTAAACAAATTGTTTCAAATCACAAACTTCATTTTCCATCTTAGATGTAAATATACTTGATCAGTAAGGTAGTGTTTTTATTCAAATTTGAGTTCTTACATAACACAATATAAAGGTTTTCTTCATATTCATTTCTTTCATTTCAGAGAAATCAAATTCAAAGTAGAGTAGAGGCATCACAGATGATAGTATACCATCAGCATAAAAATGAAACATGATGAACATAGTAAAAAAAATGTGGCACAAT